TTTACACGTCTGTGATTTCTTAATGTGAATATCTCAGGATTATGGACAAAACAAGACATTTAATCTTAAACTTTGGGAAGCCCTGATTGACATTTTCACCTTTTTTCTGACAATTTAAAGACGTCACTTATTGATTGATTGATTGAGAAAATACGTCAGTGGAAATAACAGTTAGTTGCAGCTCTAGCTAGCAGATGTAAATTTCTTCAGAACAAATGGGAAATAAAGTACATTTAGACTACATTAGATTAGTTTTGATTAAACTTAAACAAACTTTAGAGGAAAATAGATGTAACGAGAGCAAAGACTCATCATTTGCTTTGCGTCTACTAATGATACAAGCAAATGATGCACAGTTACATTGATTAGGGGTTAGTGGAGATTTCAGAGGGTTCACTATTTTTCGAAAGTCTTTTGCTGTTTATGCACGTGTTGATTCATTCGTCCCTCTGATTTCAGGCTGATGTCTTCTCCTATGGAATAATCCTGTGCGAAATAATTGCGAGGATCCAGGCCGACCCGGACTTCCTTCCTCGCACTGAGGTGACTGTTCATCTCTCACCTGGTTTCCACCCCGTGACCCTGTAATACTCACGCTAAGTGTTTGCTCTGTACATAGACTGACCCATAACTCTCACTCTGTTTACACTGTGAAATGACTCACGGAGAAGTCAAAAGGAATGTTAAAATATTTTCCAACCCATTCTTGCAAAACGAACTTTAAATATTTACCAGCAATTCATCTACTGTACTTCCTCAGTGTATCAATCTCGAAACTCTCTTAGTTTGAGGCAAATATTTATGATTTCACGGGTGAAGCATGTGAAGTAATGACTCACACGTCTTCATATGCTTTACTCAGATTTACCAAAGTACGCTAAGTGCAGGGAGTTTGTGTCAGTTCAGTTCCATGTTTCCTGACTTATTCGCAGCTGCAATCGAATCCTATTCTGTCATTTAAAATATAAATTGTATGTTGGAATTTCTCAAGTTGGTTAACATTAAAATCCTCTCACCAAGCACCTGCTAAATAAAAGTCAGCGTGAATTCACTGAGATGTTTACATCCCAGTGCGGATTGTGTGCCATTAAACCGGGCTTAGAGGTGATAGTCTACAGGCAGAAGAGAAGTTGGCAGTCAGCAGGACCTTGTCACAGGGATTAGTTTAATATGAAGCTGGCTTTGGCAGTTGCGTTACAGTATGTCTCACATCTGATAAAGCTCCGTCTTTATGCTACTGTTAGGTGATAAGTTTCCTGTTTATCTTCTGTGCATATTGCGTCACACATCTTTGTCTCTTTGTGTCTCCAACCTCGCCCTCCTGGACAGAACTTTGGCCTGGACTATCACACGTTCCAGCACATGGTTGGAGACTGTCCGCCTGATTTCCTGCAGCTGGCCTTCAACTGCTGCAATGTGAGTCCGCCGTTCACTCGTCTCAATCTTTCTTCGCTCAGAAATACTCACAGATATTTGCAGATAATAAACAGCTGCTGTCTATTTGACTGCAGTTATTTGAACTGACTGCGATTGTTTTTCATGATCATTAGAATCGTCTCTGTTCACCTTTATAAGAACAGCTGGATGAAACTAATAGGAAATGCCGTGTTTCAGTCATTGTTTCCACGTCGTTTACACTGTTGGTTCCACCTGCTGCTGCTGCTGTGCTTTAAAGGCCGCAACTGTTTATCTCGAGATAGCAAGCAGCAAAACACTGATGTAGGCACATTTTGGTTTTGATTAAATGAGAAAGAATAATAACTTGACCTTGAAAAAGGTGATGTCATAGATTTGTGGCAAATCGATGGCGATCAAAGGTGAGAATACCACTAGTTTAATAGTAGTAGAGGCATAAAATCAACAGAAAAAAGCAATTAACAGTCTGAACTTTAAGCAGTTTCTGTCTGTTTATTTATTTTTTTGCTCCTTTCGAATTTTTACTCATTGTGGGCTGATTTTTCACTGCAATATAAAGTTTTACACCATGACCATGACCAGAAGAAGAAAGAACTCAAAAAATGTATTCTGTGGAGTAAAAGGTTATCAAGCCATAAATCACAAAAAGAAAACGAAATTATAATTAGTTTGATTATCTATTTTGCAGAACAGTTTACACACCATCGTCTTCTATCTGCTCTGTGTAAACAAATCCTGCAGTACAGCCAAAAATTCCTCAATTTTTATTTTTATTTTTATTTTTCACAGAAGCTGGCAGATATTTAATAGGACTTAGATTTTACAGTGTCTTGCCCCGATAAAATAGATTCATTGTGTTTATTTTTTTAAAGACTGCATGCCTTTTATACCTGCCAGTGGGTTTTTGAGATCACAGGATTAAATCGTTAATCGCATTATTCGTGTGACAATTATTCAGAAAGATTGTGATAGACATACTTGTGAGAAAATGAAGCAGCATGCAGACACACCATTATTTTACTGTAAAGCAGCTCGTAAAATTGATGCATCGTGTTGGCGCTGATCATATTTCAATCTATCTGGAGTGTAATGATTATGTGTATTGCTGACAACAATTCCCAAATGGCTTGTCGTAGTTGTTTCTTGGAGTTTCATCCTGTTTCCTTTTTTAATTTCCTGAGTAACTTTTATTCCCTTGTTCAGAAATAAAGGAGCAATCTGATTATCTGAATAATCTGATTTGGCTTACTATCCAGGGGGTGTGCTACTCTCTAAAAGCTGGATCAGTTACTGGGCAGATTCAGCTTTTCTCAGCACTCATACATTGATTTACTGTTAATATATTTTTAAAAAAAGTTTGCATTGAGGTAAATCAAATGAAATGAATTATACTTTTTCTACACTTAAAATGAGGTTTTTCCAGTTCAGTTTTGCTCACTCATCACAGGACTGGACTCTGACATTTTTTTTTATTTTTATCTCTGACGTTAATTACAACCACAGAAGATGAGAGCATTAAAGATTTTGTGGCACCCTGCTGTTTGATCCTATATTGGCCCCTTCCATCCCTTCTCATCCTTGTCTGTTGTCTCGCTTTTATCATCCTTGTCTCTCTTATCCTCCTTTCAAGTCTGTTTCCATGTCTGTTTCTCTCTAGCAGGTTATTCTAACCACTTTGAACTTCTGTGTGCATCTTTTAGTCACATTTGTGTCCTTGATCATTACGTTGTCGTCGCTTTCCTTCACAGTAAAGACACTTTATGTCATCAGTGTCTCCCAAAGACAAAATGTTACTGACTGGTAGCCTCGGTTGTTATTTATTTTTTGTAAATTTAATTTAAGTCTTTGTAAATTAAGGGTCATTTTTCAACTTATCTGTGCCTCAGTCTGCTGAGAAACGGAGCATTTCCAAAGTACAGGATCAGTAAAAGTCATAAAACAATCTGTCTTTCACCGCCGAGCAGTATAATCGTATCTCTGGAAACTCCTACCTGTAAAGTACAGTGTAAAGGTTTCAGGAGGCGTCAGCTCTAGTCTGGTTTGTTTATGTGGATTTTTATGGTTTTGTATCATTAACTTGGTCATATATTTTTTAATATTTAAATGTTACATGAGGCAGCGTTTTAAATGAAAATCCGCCTGTCGGTGCGTTTTCCCAATCATGCTGTTGTAAGATATATATATATATATAATCCTCATAGTCATGCTTCTTCATATCTCCAACACTTGCTCCCCTCAGATGGATCCCAAACTCCGTCCGTCCTTCCCAGACACTGTGAGGCACCTGGAGGAGATTCTCGCCCGCCTTAAGGTTGAAGAGATGGAGCATGAATGTGTCAGCGGAGACAATGACAAGAAGACCATCCCCAAAGGTAGCAGCGCTGCACACTCGCGTACAGCTTCAGTTTTACAATCAATAAAACTCACATCCTTCTGTTTACAAGAAGATGCCTGTAAATTCCTGTAAGGGAAGGTGGAAGGAGGGGGAAGCTGTTGCCCAAGTGAGGCAACACAAATTTATTTTACATCCTCTCCCAAACTACACTTCACCACTACAAACAGACGCTGGTTGTTCCTGATCTATTCAACGAGTCAATGTTGCGCTGGTTTGCCAGTCAGTGTCAAACCTGACACACTCTTCTCTCCTAACACCACAACACTTCCTTTTTTAAACCACACAGTTGATTCCGTGTTTGTCCGGCCAGTTACAAGGCTTACGCTGTCCTCACCCAAACATAGAGTCAGGTTTGCCAAAGCTAGATTTTTACTCCTTCTAACAGTCAGTTTTCCAGGTGAGTAATATCCCTGCTTCCACTGTAATTTCTGTTTTCCTTGTGATTGCACCCAAACAAGTGTTTCAAGGGACCTTTTTCTGCAAAAGCAAAGTCTAATATGAGAGCATCTGTTGCACTTCAAAGAAGCAAACGCTCTGATCCCGAATCCTTTGGTGACTGATAATATAAACTTTATCTTGACTTGAAGAGGAAATTTGGTCAGAGATCAACATTCCTATTTTGAGACACTTGATCCACGCAGGCCCAGGTTTCACTTCTAATTTGGTCCCACGTTCAGCCGCCTGCATGTCTGACCATCACAGAGTCAGGAGGCGGTAATGTTTTTGTTTAGACGGGCCAAACGGATCCTTTTTCCTCACTGCCCGTGATGTCACAGGACACAAGCGAGATATATACAAGTGCAGTTTCTTACCTCTGTTGTCTGGTGGTGTAAATCTCAAAGCTAGCAGAATATATAAACCACAGTTTTAGCCTGTTGACAGAAGAATCACGTCTTATGTGGCTGTTATTGTGTGATAAACGTGGCCTGGATCTGACTGTTCTCACTTCTCGTCAGCTGTTGATTGTTACATCATAAACGTCTCCATCTCCCTCCATCCACTGATAACATCAGCATTTCTGCCAGACCGGAGACCAGGATCACCCTTATAGTAGGAAATAGTACTGTTGTGTAACAAAAACCTCTCGGCCAAGTATTTTTCCAATGGAGTTTTTTTTTTTTTTTATGGTCCTCATGAGTAATATGAGTATTTTTTCGAGATGTTTCCTAGAACAAATGAAAGACATGAGCAGTCAGAGGTGCAACAATACTTTACAACTTGGAGTTGAGGATAAAATAAGATGTTTGCTTGGTTGTTGCATTTGTTTAGATGCGTCTGCTAATTGGGTTTACACTTTATTATGGATGATTGATTTGTTTTCGTTCATACTCCTGCTAAAATATGCAAAATTAGCACATTTTTCGTAAAAGTTTGTGACAAATAAATCCAACCAAAGCTGTGAAAATGTCAACAAAATATTATCCATGGACTTAGAAAACAGTTAAAACGAGTTTGACAAAACTCTTGACCGCATACAGAGAACTTAGCCTGTTGCCGCCACCTAGTGGTTCAATTAAATTCTCACTTTACTTTCAGTATGACTGCCTCAGATCAAATCACACTTCTGGAAATTCATCAAACTAATGTCAATCACAGAAGACTCATCGATGCATCGAATCCAAAAATCAAACATGGACGTTGTAAAAACAGGACCTTGTAAATTTTTTCTATTTAAAAGTTTAAACTTAAAAAATTTCATGTTTCAGAACTGACTTCTGAAAGCTGTCCCTTCTTGCAATTTAATTTACAGTGGTGATAAAATAGTCAGATACACTTCTATACTTAGAACTCATAGTTTAACTCATTTGTTCTTGTTGAATTTATGTGTACAATTTTTTTTTAAAGATGTTTACACAAACTCTTGTTTTTTTCTTTCCAGGTGAGAAGCTCCAGGGCTTCAAGCGACTGAATCCTCTTGGTTTCCAGAATGATAAAATCCCTCCCAAATCTCCCCGCCCCAGACGAAACATCTGGCTCAGCCGCAGCCAATCGGACATTTTCTCCTGCAAGCCGGGAAGAAAAGTCAATGTCCAGGACCCTTACTACAACCCCCCCACCATTCAGAGAGCCTCCAAAGCCCGCAAGATCAACCCGTTCACCGCCCGGGAGGACTTGTGCGGCGGCAAGATCAAGTTTTTCGATGTGCCCAGCAAGTCTGTCTTCTCGCTAGTGTTCGATCTCCACTCACCTCCAGGAAGTTTGTTCAGCAACCAGCCGCCTGCTCACGGACCTTCAGCGGCCCAGCAGGAGGCGTCTTACTACTGGCAGCAGCTGCCAGGAAGACAGTGTCACTCTTTACCAGTGTCCCCACAACTTCCCCGATCCGAGATCTTCCACCTCGCTGCTGCCGTTAGCTCCAACAACAACGGTTCTGTCACCTGTAACTCCGGTCAGCTGTCCTCGACTCTTCCAGGTAGGCTCAGTGAACGTTTCCTTTGTGGAAAAGTAAAGGATAAAGCAGCCTGCTGTGCAGGAATAGATGTATACCTCAAACTCATTGGATTGTAGTTGGAATATGTGACTGTAAGCAGTGAAGTTTAGTCAGCTTTTCTCATTATCTCATAGCTCAACAGCTACGTTGACTGAGACAGAGGATGATTCACTATCTGGTTATTGAGGTCACTTATTTTACTGATCAAAGCTAGCAAAAACAAAACAAAACAAAAAGATCATGTGGTTTTGTCTTACAGAAAAATAGATAGATTTCACATTTTATTGCATTTAATGGTCACCCTCTGAACCCTAAACAGCTCCTGGGCTTTTATTTGCTCCTGTGGGCTCATTTTTTTACCACAGTATAAAGTCCCAGACCTCTATAGAAACAGCACACCTGTGGCTCGAAGTAGAGAGAGCGCAGAATAATCTTCTTTGCAGTTTGACACGGCTATGATGCCATAAATCATTTTAAAAAGGTAGAATTTCTTGGATTTTTTATTTTACAAAAATTGAAAAAAACAATTACAAATGCAGCATTTGTGAACATTTTCTCACCTCTCTGTGCTCATTTTCATTTTGGTTACTGGTTTACCCAAAATACAAGAGATTCTAGCTAAGAGGTTTGGTCAACGTGTGTTTTTCAAACAAACATACAAAAAGCATATCCGTGTAGTAAGTCCTCGCTGCTGGAAAAATATAGTCCGCACACATTTAATAAATTACTGCCTCCTTTGAAGAGCTTTAGGCTCCATCAGATCGTAATTTCTTCTAGATTATTTTACCAGGGGCTGCAAGGTGGCGCAGTTGGTAGCACTGTTGCCTCGCAACAAGAAGGCTGCCGGTTCGCGTCCCGGTGGGGTACCGGAATCTTTCTGCGTGGAGTCTCCATGTTCTCCCCGTGCAGCGTGGGTTCTCTCCGGGTTCTCCGGCTTCCTCCCACACAGTCTAAAAACATGTTGAGGTTAATTGGTGATTCTAAATTGTCCGTAGGTGTGAATGTGAGTGTGCTTGGTTGTCTGTCTCTAAGTGTAGCCCTGTGATAGACTGGTGACCTGTCCAGGGTGTCCCCTGCCTTCGCCCTAAGTCAGCTGGGATAGGCTCCAGCCCCCCAGGACCCTAGTGAGGATTAAGCGGTGTATAGAAAATGGATGGATGGATTATTTTACCAAATTTTGCAATGACCTTGTCTTCCAACCCATTTTCTTTCCGTTCCCGTCAGCTGCTAACTCAAAGTCTGACGCTGGCCTGATGGGGAACGACGTCCGACAGAAGGCAGTGCTGAGCGGCTGGGCGAAGAAATACGTCGTGGTCGAGATCCCACCTTACTGCAGGCAGAGAGGAGGGGAGGACGAGGACGGAGAGGTGGAGGGAGGGAGGGACGGATGCCAGGACGTGTTCGGGGAGAGCTGGTCTCCGATGGCCCCCAGCAGCGACAGAGACAGTGGGGAGGGGATGGACTGCTCCAGCAGCCTGGAGGAAGAGGAGGGACGAGGGAGAGGGACGGACACATGTCCAATGTAGCACACACACACACACACACACACACACACACACACACACACACACACAGAGGTTAATGGTGGAAAGATGTGGTAGTTTGGGACCGGAGAGGATTCTGAGGCAGCGGAAAATGGATTAAAAACTGACCGACTGGACACATTTCAGAGATTTTCTATGAATAAAAAGGAACTTGAGCACTTGATTTTTATCTTTCAAGTGAATGTACCACATGTTGAAAAGCTAGAGCGCTCACCCAGGCGTGACAGTCCCCAATTAGCACATTTATCAACACGACAGACACTCTGCAGAGAGATTATTTTTCTGAAAAGGTTGTTTATATTTAATATTGTGAAATGTAGATTATTTGTTTTCGTTTCCTCTAGTCTCGTCTCTGATGAGGGGTATTGAAGATCCCTGTTGTTGTTCTTGTTGTCGTCGTGTGTGAATTTCAAAATCAAAAGTGTGTTTTGATACTTAACGTGTTCACTGAGACAAATACTAAATCAAAAACAATCTCACATCTGATTAACAAAACCACGTGCTGATATTCAGAAAACTGTGCTGAAAAAAACCGCTATGAGAAGGACGTTTAATGTCACGTACTCTGGTAACCTCAACATTTTCACCAACCACCACGTCTTCACTGAATTCACAGATCTGCAACAGTGGATTTAGCGAGGAAATGGTTTCAGTTTCAAACTTTGTGCAGTTCATTCCGTTTAGTTATTTATTCAACAAGATCAACACTTGCAGTCAATCCCAGGACTGTTACAGCGTCCTCATTGGCTCTTTGAAGACCTTTCTGGTGGTGTTGACATCTTTTCGCACGCTTACTTCAGCCACTTGAAGACAACACAGTCGTTTCCTGTGATCAGACTCCATAAATTATTAACAGAAGAGTCAACGAGACTTCAAATCCAGAAAACAAACTGTAGGCAAACATGTATTTTGTTAAAAGAACCTTGTAATTTCTCTTTTGTCCTCTGTCAGAATTGACTTTTCAAAGCTGTCCCTTCTTGCAACTCTACTGAAATCATCAAAAAATAAAGCCAAAAGACAGCTATGATGAATTACTATTATAAAACAAGGTTAAAGCGAAACAGTTTTCAAAGACGTAACACTGTCCTCTTACAGATAAAATGTTGACTTCATCAACAGCTCTCAATAGTCTCATCTGGTCGGGTTAATCCTAAAAGTTTAGGATTGGTGTTGGCAAACTTAAAATTAAATGTCAATTATACATGAAGTATACACAAAAAAGATAATTCGCAGTCAAAATCCTGGAGAACAAGGTTGTTGCTCTGTCAGAAAGTTGCCATGGTTGTGTTAAGATGTGACTCCAGTCTGAGCGTCACTGGTCCGACTAAACGTGTCAAAAGTGCCACCAGAGTATAGCTTCTTAAATCAACAGCAAACCCTTCAGTTACCTGAAAACACAAGTGATTAGGTTGATGTTCCACTTGAAAGCGGCACATGATTCAGTGTAAAAGAAAGAAAATTTGGATGAATAATCCTTTGAAAACAGAGAAACAGCACAACTTTCACCGTTGGGCCTCGCGTTGACTTTCACAAATCGTCACAAGTGATCAGTATTTATTAAACGCTATTGTTCGTTGGAGTAATTTATGGATTTATTAAATTATACGCACGATACTATGAAGTGGTTTTCTGCAGAAACTCCTCCATGTGTGGCAGCTGCTAACATTTGGTTTAGTTTAAATGAAATCTGAAGATCCCACGACATGTTGGACTCTCGCTCTGTTTGATGTCTGAAACAGAATTTGTTTTGTTCGTTTCCTCTTTACTGAGTATTATAATCGTTGTAAATATTTATCAGAACTGCTTTCAGTGTACAAACTCAATGAAATTAGATTTATATTGTTGAACATGTTTGCCTCGACTCCCTCCAGCACTTCCTTTCCTTTAGCTACATTCTGCTGATCTCACTTCAATAGGAACTCAAATGCACATGTACAGTGATATATACGCGGCGCTCTCTTATCACTACTTCTCTATGCAACTTGTAACACACTGTTTTACAGGATAAAGGATCTAATTTGATATTTATGAGAAAAAAAAACAAACATTTAATGTCTTACCTTTGTACATTTGTGTAAAAAGTTTGTTACCCGCCTCGTTGAATACAGATTGTTTTTGTTTTTTTCTGATCGAATAACAAAAGCTTCCCTGAGTTGTCTTTGTTTATCTCGTTCTTTTTCTTCTTTAGGACTTAACCAAGTCTCACCTCAAAACCGACGGATTTTATTTACATTTCAGGAAGCCGTACAATAAGCGAAACCTTTGCTTTCAGGGTCGATTTGCAAGTCGTCATCGTGTCGAGAGACGCTGCCAAAAGATTCACATCCTGATGGTTTCTGCAGGTGGGTTGTCAGTTTAATCGTTCAAAGTTGCATTACATTACAGATTGATTGAAGTGATGTCAGTCAAAGCAAAGAGTTCATGGTGTGCTTCAGAGACCCATCCATGTTAGTGTCCAAGTTAAAATGCAGAACAGTTTTATTTTCCTGTGTTGGTTTGGTTTAGACTCAGCATGAATCAGATCATCTCAACAGAAGATGCATGTAAAAAATAAAAAAATTACATGAGGAATATCACTTAGAAGGCAAACACAACATGGCAGGAGGTGAAAGAAAGAGAGGAAAGCAACATACGCAGCCTGTAATTAGGGAGTTTATACCTGAGGGCAGGTAACCTCCCACCTGACTCGGGTAAGGTCATGTGACCTGACGCTGGAAGTCACAATCTGTCAGACGACCAACTTTACTGTCGGTTTTAGAACAAATGTAGCCGTAAAAACTCACAAAACGTCCCTCAGAGCAGCCAGATGTGTTGAGTTCTAATCAATCAGGCTGTTAACTTCTGTATTTAACTATTTTTTTCTTCTATCTTCTTGTAATAATGGCATAAAAAGTCCTCCGGAAATAAATAAATACATTTTTTGGTGACAAAATTAAATATCACAGTATTGTTACAATATAATGTGACAAATAAAACCTTTGGCGCTTTACCACAATTATTTATACACAAGATATGTTGACCGAATCAGAAGAGGCACTAGTTTTTAAGATGGTTTTGTCATTTTAGAGAAACGAAAACCTTAAACAATATTTTTCAGGTGGCTCTGTATGTTTCTGTAGTGTTCCAGAAATTTTTTAAAGATTCATTCCCTCCACTCTCAGGCAGCCATGAAGTTATTTACTGTTGTAAAATGCAAATTTGGTGTCAAGACCGATGGGTTACACTGAAGAGTTTCGTGAGTCAATTATCTGATTTTCACACTGTACGAGAAAGAAAGGAAGCTTGAGGCCGCTGATAGCAGAAGGAAAAATGCTGTACTTTCAAAAAAATGTTTTAGTATTTACTTGAAAAAGCCTTGCAAAAATGTAAAGTATATGTTTGATGTGTATTTGTAGTGTATTAGGAGTTGCAAACACACTGGTGTAGCTCTTAGATGAAGCTTCAGTATTACGATTTCACAGTAATCCACTTCATATTGTATCATTACATTAACCCTCAGAACCCCAAGCAGTTGCTACGTGTTTTTTTCTTTTTTACTTCTGTGACATTTTTACTCAATGGGGGGTTATTTCTCACGGCAATAACAAGTCCTCACTTGTATGGAAACAGCACAACTATAGCTAGAAGTAGAGAGAACTCAAAAACGTCTAGTGTGCAGCATGACACAGTTATGATGCCATTTAGTCCAAAGATTAACAAAATGAAAGCTGAATTTCTTTGATTATATATTTTCCATAATTTCCACAACATTTTACAAAAATTAAAAAAAACAAAAAACTGGAATCAACATGTGGAACCTTTTTTTCAATTGCTGACAGTTGTTACTAGAACTAGAAACAAAATGCTGACTGTACATACGATGTACTAAGACTTTAATCTGTTTCCATGCTTGTCTCGGTGCAGCTTGCAGTACAACCGAAAAGTCTCTGAATTCTTGACATGTGACTGTTGGTCATGGCTGAGTCACTCATGAATTCACAGTTGCAACAAGTAGTGCAAAATATTATTTATTTTTATAAAATCTGGTTAAAGGAAACTGTTTGTTTTTTGTGAATTTTCAAATGAGACAGTAGAATAAAGCGATTGTGATGAAATATTACGACTGCAAGCTTAGACTTGATAAAGTTGTCCGATGTAATAAAACATGACAGAAGTTGAGCAAGTTGAAAATCTGACTGTTCTTTCTGTTTTTACAGTTTGCGACGCTGATAAATATTGTAGTTTGGGGGATTTGTACAAACAAAATGTCTTTCAGACTCTTCGGCGAGTTTTGGGGTTCGGAGGGTTAAGTTTAATACTCGTCTGATGTTGTGTTATAATTTAGAGCAACACAACAATAAAACAAAACGATTTATCAAAAATATCAACAAGCTCCAGTTAAACACTTCAGAAAAACATGTTGTGTTCTTGAAGTCATGAAACACAGAAGGCAGATGTAGAAAACAAACTCCTGTAATCTCAGTGAGCTGTTTTTTGGTGGGACTTGAGGCTGGATCGCTGGGTGAAGCACTTCCCACACAGCGAGCACTCGTAGGGTTTCTCCCCGCTGTGGACCACGGCGTGTCTGATCAGGTTGCACTGCTTGGTGAAGCTGCGACCGCATTGCATGCAGCTGAACGGCTTCTCGCCCGTGTGACTCCTCAGGTGCTCTTTGAGCTGACTGAACCTGGTGAAGCTTTTGTCGCAGTACGAGCAGCTGAACCTCTTCTCGCAGAGGCCGGGCCTCCAGGGCACCCTCATCCTCCTCGCCAGGCCGAAGCTGCCGCGGCTCAGAGAGACGGCGGAGTTCGGCGACATCATATCCTCATTTGGGTTCCTTGTGAGAGGGGCTGAATCTCTGTACTGATGCTGTTGAATCAAACTTGAATCCATTGAATTAATCTGAGACAAAGCACCGTGTCCTTCATCCGGTTGTGGCCTTTTACATACGAAGCTTCTGACTCGTCTTTTCACCCGAGCTGCACTCACCACCACCAAAGAGTGTGTTTTCCCCACTGAAGGAATTCTGGGCACCATATCCTCCAGATGTAAGCTGGTTTGAGATGCGAACACAGCAGGAATCTGCTCAAACTGCTGCCCGGCGTACGAGACGCCTGGATCAGCAGCGTCTCTGCACAGATTGGCCGACCACAGCTGTGCCTCTGCTTCCTCTGTCACAAATGTGGCGGCTGAATCGAGTGGAGCTGCGTTCTCGTCGGGCCCTTCCTCTTTCTCGTGTTTCACTACGAGTGCCGCCTCATTCTGGTTTCTGTTAAACTGCTGCTCTGGGAAAGCGTTGTAGCCGTCTGCTGGGGGAAGCAGAGATTCAGGGTTGGCTGGGTTTTCAGCTGAGCGGTAACGCTCTGCAAAGCTGTCAGTCTGGGCAGGTGGTGTGGCGTCGAAACATGGCAGCTGCTCAGCTCCAGAGACTGAAGAAAGCACAGGAGAGCGAGTTTAGTTTTAAAGTGGAGGTTTTCAGGCTCATAGTCTGATCAGTCTCTCAATAAATCCTTAAATATCTGCCTGTTATGGTGCCACAAAGCATGTACAAAACATTTAAACAGACTGCAATAATCAGTTTTAGTTTTTTGAAGAACATTTATGATTTATACTCACAAATTTTCATCATTAGCTGGAAAGCTCGTGGTAAAAACTTCTGTTTTACAGCAGAGATTAGATTTGTTATACAGACTCAGGATAAATGAGGTGGACCAGAGGATTCTGGTTTTATTCTACCAGGCTGCTTTACAGAGCATAACGAGGAAGAGGATGGCAATCCGACTGCACACTTAAAATCTAAGCTTGTTCGTCTGCTGGTGAAGGTTATGGGGAGGAATGAATGTCAGTCCCTCCAGTCAATATATGATCAGTCTGCTCTCAGGTAAACACAGAAAATAGAGTTTATATCACTTAAATGTCAAATGATTTAAAAAGCAGTACCTCTACAGTAGATCTAAAAACACTGAGGTATTTGCTTTCATGCAAAATTAAAAGCTGTGTGTGTAGATTTACTATCTTAAAGCTACACGCATCACAGTACAAACGTGATGCAGCAGAAGTCAGTAAACCTTTGCAGTCCATCATTTCTGAGTTTCAAACCCTCATTTTTTCCCCCCAATTCTTTGTGTCCACCTGTATTTATGATGACAATCAATCTTCCTCGGTACACAGGGCAACAAATCTCTGGAGAAATGTTCTGCCATTCTTCTGAGACTTATTTTTTTCTGCTGCTTTTTGCTGGAGGGGTTGTGTTGCTCTGCCTTTATCTTTAAAATACCCTAAAGGTGTTCTACTGGATTCGAGTCAGCCAACACACTCGTCCATGTCATAGTTTTTGCTTTTTTCTTCTTTGAAAATCCTTGTGTTGTTTTGGCAGTGTGCTCTGAATTGTTATCACGCTGGAATATTCCTCTACTGCCAAGTTTCTACAAAGTTGAAGTCATATTGTCAGCCAGTGTTTTGGTATAAATCCACAAACGTCATCTATGAATGTCGTCTCCCCAACACCTGCAGGAAGTTCTGTGTCTTTTGGGCAGCTGTGTCTGTTCATCTCCTACATTCTTGTGTTCACAGGTAATTTGATAACGATGTTCTCGTAGTTAGACTAAATGAAAATCTATTTTGTTTCAGTGACAACAGGTTTTGAAATTGTGTGTCAGTGATGACAGGTTTATGTATTTTTGTTGCGTAGTTTCTACTTTGGGGCTTGTACTTTAAGTTTTGTCTCTCTATAGAAGTAGCTTTTGATTGTTTATAAGAAGAAATACTGAACTTTGAAATATTCCAGTTATTGACAGATGATACAATTTCTAATCATTTAGGATTTTAGTGATGTATCACAGAGATTGGAACACGATGATACAAGGCTGTGTGAGTGCAAAAGGTGTTGAGGAGAATGATTTCATAGATGCACCATGGATTTCTGTTGCTACACCAAAACACTGGCTGACATGATGAGTGACGGTCTGCAGACACTTGGCAGAAGAGGAATATTCCAGCATGATAACCGGCCAAACCACAGCGCCGAAATCACGCTACCAGAATCTCTAAAGAAAAGAAAAAAACAACAACTATAACCTGGACATGAATGTGTCGTGACTTGAATCCAATACGACACCTTTGCAGTATTTTAAAGATAAAGGTTCAGCAAAAAGCAGGTAAAACCATAGACTCTGAAGAATGAAAGAAATGTGTGCAACAAAATACACAAAAACAAACGATTGAACCTCATTCATAAAAGTTGTTCTGACTTTTATTGCATTAAGTTCCCACTGTGTGTTAGCATTCAAATATCGCAAATCAAAACTGTTCATTCTTAATTTTAAATAAGAGCAAACATCTGACTGTTCAGCTTAGAAATGATGCAGTTATTGAGAAGAAAGGCTGAACTTGTAAATGAAGCCATGCACAAGGCTGCTTGTAAATTAAAAAGCACTTAACTCAGACTTATGATTATTACAAGAAAAGGGAAGATGTTCAGAATCCACTGATCCACTTGACTGTATTCAGCGTTCTTCTCCTCACATGACCTGTTAAACCGTGTATTTCTTTACCTTAACAGCTGAACTAGGAAGAACGAGCAGTTCAACTGAGTATCTGAAGTACTACCTGCGCTTGAAAAGCAGTTTTGAAAGTGTTGCTGTGTCGTGTGAAAGTCATGTGATGTCGGGCCGAGTTGACCGAGTTGGATGTCCAATCCGAAGCGGGCTTGTGTTTTTGTACTCACTCAGTTTGTGGTCTGGGTCGGTCCTCCATGTGGCCTCCTCTGCACACTCCTCTTTGATGTGTATGTGTTCAGCTTCATTAACAGGCTCCATGTCTGCACACTGCAACATCAAGCTCAGCATTCATGTGTAAACCAGGGACATGACACATACAACTGTCCTCCTATAGACGGCTCTGATTTACATTCAATCATCTCTTCACCGAAGCCATCAGCAACTTTTAGACTTTTAGACATCCCAACTACACTGCTCAAGGATGTTTTTTCCTTAATTAACATTTTCATATTTGATCTTTAAGTTGTATCTTTATCATTAAACTACACCCTGCAACCTTTTAAAGTTCTGTGCAAAACCCTCTGGATCCAGATGTTTCAGCCAATTAAACACCTAAATCCAACCTCTCATTTAATAAAGAAAGAGAACAAAAAACTGGAGCAAGAGAAAAGAAAAATCCTGGAAAAGAATGAAGAAGAATTGTAAGAAGAAAAGAGAAAACTGGAGGAAGAGAAACAAGGACTGCAGGACAAGAATAAAGAATTGGAGCAAGAATAGAAAGAAACGGAGGTGAAGAATGAAAACCTGCAGAAGGAGAACAAAGAACCGAAGCTGCAGAAATCAGAATTGGAGGACGGGAATAAAGATCTGCAGGACGACGATATGAAAGGAGGCTGAAGAAGTGAAGAGGGAAGCAGAAAGAAAAGCAGCAGACGGTCGGCTGCTGGAGCTGGTTGTTCAGGAAGTCGTGACGGCGACAGCGAGGTGGAGGAGGCTGCTGCTGCTTCAGCTGATGGAAAGCAGCTCCCCACTTTCCCCACCTTCACTCCCCCATTCTGCCTCCATCATCACCCCTCTGCCTCTACTTCCCCCATCCATCTCTATCTCATCTCCATCACTCCATCCTTCCTCCATCACCCCCAAACCTGTCCTCACCCCATCTTCTCTCCTCTCTCACCCCTTTCCTCTATCTCCCCCCTGTATCTGTATTAAAAAGTCTTATTTACAGTTAGATCCTGCTCAACTCTGTCTCCGTGTTGGGGATAATTTATAATCAGAAGTAATTAAGAGAGTTATGGCTGTGCTGGTTGTGTTGTGTGTGTAAATACACGCCGCTCTCTCGTTTCTGAGACACTCATATGGTTCATGCTGCTGTTTGATGCTGCAGGTATTTAAATAACTCAAAGGAAAAATTCCTACAAACAGCTGGAAGCAACAAACTGAACACTTTGAGGTGTTTATGTCCACCACCTTTAAACTAAACTTGGCCTTAGTGCTGTCTGTGATGTTCAGCCAACTGCCTGCTGCTATTTGCACAGCCCTCAGTCATCAACACTGTCTTCAGACACCATAGTTGCATTCACTGACACTTGTATATCAGAGTTTCAGAGAATTGACTTGGATCAGGTGGCCAATGAGATTTCAGGGGTTAGTCCTTGACTTCTAAAGGGCTCTGTCCTTGGACCAGTACTTCTCAATTTGTACGTGCTTCCCTTAGGAAGCATGATAATAGGAAACTGCATAAACTGCCATTGCCACGCAGATGACACCCCGTTATATTTATCTATGAAGCCAGATGAAACAAATCTGTTCAAACTGTCTTAAGCACATAAAAGCCTGGATGACCTGTAATTTTCTTCTTTCAAATTCTAACAAAACTGATAATAATGTATTTGGCTCTAAGCACCTTATAAGCACATTATCTAAGCAGACAGTTACTCTGGGTGTCATTACCTTGGCCTCAAGTTCTACTGTAGGGAACCTCAGAGATCATTTTGTCCGTTAATTTTTAGCACGTGATTAGGACGGCCTTCTTTCAACTGGACAATTTTGTCAAAACTATGGACATACTGTCTCAAAGTGATGCTGAAAAACTCGTCCATGCAGTTGCAACTTCTCAGCTGGACTATTGTAATTCCTCTTTATCAGGATGTCCGAATAACTCTACAAATACTGATACGAAATTCTGCAGCCAGACTTTTGACAGGGACCAGTAAGATGTCATATTTTCTCCCGTATTAGCTTCTCTTCATTGGCTCACTGTAAAATCCAGGATAGAATTTAAAACCCTCCTCCTCACATACAAACCTCTTAATGACCAAGCTTCGTCTTATCTTAAACACCTTACTGCATGATAATACCCCAACACAGCCCTTCACTACCCGACTGCAGGCTTATTTGTGGATCCAAAAGCAGACTGTGAGGCAGAGCTTTAAGCTATCTGGCTCCTCTGCTGTGGAATCAGCTCCCAGTTTGGGTTCAGGAGGCAGACACCCCCACTGCTTTTAAGATCAGGCTTAAGACTTTCCTTTTCGATAAAGCTTATATCTCAGTTATGCTGCTACAGGCCCAGGCTGCTGGGAGACTTCCCATGATACACTGAGCGCCTCTCCTCCCCATGTATTTATAAGCCACCATCGCACGTCTTGTGTCTTCTCTCTCCTGTAGTTTGTGTTCTGTCTTTGCTGCAGGTGTCTTTTATTTTTTGACCTGCTATTGATGGCCTCACCAACCTGCTTAATATTTATTGGTGTCTTGTTTGTTGTTTCTAGCTGCTCATCTTTTCTCACATCAAGTCAGACTGTTTCCGTCCCTGAGCCGGGTTTAAACAGGTTTTCTACTATTTTTTTTCTTTTTCTCACTGTGCTTGCTCAAAGGGGATATCTGGGTTTCTCTGTATATTAAAATATTCTCAGGTCTTGACCTTAATACGTGACGTGCCCTGAGATGACTGATGTTATGAATTTGTGCTAAACCTTTAAGTAAAACTGAGCTGAATAGAGTCTAGTAAACCCATCAGTTTACAGTGACGCACTACAGACTGACTAAAGACACAGCAATTTAATGGAGCTAAATCTTATGAAAGGTTACAATAAGGTTAACATCAAGCAGAACATTTAAAGGAATCAGTTTTCGTTGACTGATTAAAAATGTTTAATTGACTCTATCTGTGGGCTGCAGGGTGGCGCAGTTGGT